GACCAGACCTAATAAGCAAAGCATGTGTTTGTGGGGTGGGGGGCGTTAGGGGACAGGGAGGAATTTACATGCAGTCAGCAGTGTGTTGATTCACAGAAGAGCTGAGCCACAAGCCAGATTGTGAAGAAAACAGTACAGGTTAAAAGGGGGGAGAGGGAAGGGAAGAGGGACTAGTACAGTAGGTTTGTTTAACAACATTTGGATGAAGAGTCTAGGACTAAACTTTTTATTCTGAAAGTTAAACTTACAACAAATAGAAAATTTTTATCTATTTGGCCACTAACAGTTTAGAAAATAGGAGTTCCTGAATTATGTAGGCTACTTTTATATTAATGATTATAGTCTCCCTTTTCTTCTTTTTACCTAAAGTTGCTTTGGGCTGAAACCTATGCTTATGAAAAAATTCTTTGAGGAGACTGTTCACATAAGATTCTATTTTTAAACCCAATTTTTATTATAGTTGTAGATAATGCTTTGTTTCACATTTTTCCACCTGAAAATTTTAAACATTTAAGCGGTCTGGGATTATGCCAGTAAGTGGTAAGTGGAATTTGTCCCTCTCCTATGGGACTTATTCTGAATCTTGCATTTAGAAAGGTTGAGCCAATTGTGATTTGGTATTTTTAGTTCTCATTAAGTGCGTTGATATAATAGATAGCATAGCTGGAATTATATAAATTGCAATCTAATATAAAATACAGATTATTTCAGAGATTATTTTCCCAACTTAAAAGCAACCAGATTAACTCAGGTGACAAGTTGTTGTTAACATTTTTTCAATTGTCAAGTAGAAGGCATACTCCAGTAGCAGCAGCAGAGGGAATGATAGTATTGAATATTCCTAAAGAAACCAAAATTCCTTTTTTTGTAACTACTGTGAACATGTATAGCAATCTCTAAAGCATGAGTGTTTTATGACTTGAGAGAAGAAAGAAATAAAATCGGTGTTTTTGAAAAGTTGGCTGTTTTTAAGTTGTATTGCTGTAGTCTGCCAACACATAGGGGTTTGTCTTTGCTCATTAAATGTGTTCTGTGGTTATTTGGTCTGAAATTGTACGAGACCAGGTGATGTGAGGATGGATGGATAGGTCTGCATGTATGGCAGTGTCTGTCTTGTGGTTTTTCTTTTCTCCCTCTCTCCGCCTGTCCACTCTCTGCTTTGACGTGGATGTGCATGCAGCATGTTGTCCTCCCTTTTAGGACTAGGAGTCTGTGAGGGTTTTTTTGTGTGATTTTGTTTTGTTTCCTTAATCTTTGTGTTTACTGCTATCTGTAATGTTAGTCTGGATATTAAAAGAGTTTTCTTTATAAATGTAAATTTGCTTTTTTCTATATATTGTGTTCCCCAGACTGCTTCGTCCCTTAGAAGTATAACTGTTCCACTGCTTGGCTTACCGAGTACTGTATTGCCCCAGTTTGCCTTCCCCTACTTCTCGTTTTGGATTTGGTATTGACCAGAGAAGCGTTTTATGCAGAACGCATTGAATGTTTTGTGTTTTGTTTTCTTGTAAGGTACAGTGGTCCCACCTGGCATCTCTCAAGAACAATGTTTCCCCTGTCTCGCGATCCCATTCCTTCAGTGACCCTTCTCCTCCCAAATTTGCACACCACCATCTTCGCTCTCAGGACCCATGTCCACCTTCCCGCAGTGAGGTGCTAAGTCAGAGTTCTGACTCTAAGTCGGAGGTACCTGACCCCACCCAAAAGGCTTGGTCTAGATCAGACAGTGACGAGGTGCCTCCAAGGGTAAGAAGCAGAAAGACAGATGTGTGCTTCTTTTTTCCATTTTGTTATTTAAAAAAAAAATTATTTATTTTAATTAAGGGTATGATGGCTTCACCAGAATGAAGGGGCAATGAAACTTCAAAGGAACTTTTTACAGTGGGGAAAGTTCCATAGTTAGGCAGTTATATTCAGCCAGTGGCCAGTTAGCTTTTTATGGTTGTTGTTAGTGCTATACTTAAACACAGAGTAACAGAATAATATATGAGTAAGTCTATAAAGAATATACTTCTAGAACAAAAAGAATCAAAGTGTATTTTAGCAGCTGTCTTACACATTTATACAAAAGCTATAAATTGTTTTGCAACATTAATGATTATCAAAATTTTCAGAAAAGGTCTTTTAAGAAAAATTTAACATAAACATTTCCAAAAAAATGATTTTGTTCTTTTTAAATTGAGGGATTTTTGTTTTTCAATTTTTTGTTTTGTTTTTGGTAGTTAATGGTGAAGTTAAATGAAAGGCACTTTTCCATTTCGTTAATTTTTCCCTCCACTTGGAATTTGCTTCCTCTGAATATTTTCTTGCTTCCTACCAGTCTTCATTTCCTACTGATCCGTTTGTAGACCATTGTTTGGTTTCTTTGAGCTTATTTTTCTGATTCTCACATTATCTCAGCAAAATGCTTTGTATGTCCCCTGCCACTAAGCTTCAATACAAACATCATTTAAATGTTACGGAAGTGTAGAAAGGCTGTTTGTCCTGGCTCCTTTGATGCCTTTGACTTAAATTTTCTCTATCATATTGAATCAGTGGAGGGCATAGAAGGATCAGGGAGAGGGGTAGTGATAGTAAGGCTCACATAATTCAGACTGTTGTAAAAATATGTTTTGGTAGGGAAATATTTTTTTCTTCTCATTTTCAATAATTTAATTGCTGTATTTTTCTACCCCAAGGTTCCTGTGAGGACAACATCTCGTTCCCCTGTTCTGTCGCGTCGGGATTCCCCACTGCAAGGCAGTGGACAGCAAAATAGCCAAGCAGGTCAAAGAAACTCCACCAGGTAAGAGAAGAGGGAAGCTTAAGAATAGGTTTACTGCACAGAATATTCCATCATACTTGTTTTCATAAAAATGCTCATAAACATGGAACCATCTGGGGTAAAGAAATCATCAGTTTATAAAAGAAAAACTGCCAGGAAATCCATTATCATGAATAATAGCAAACTGGTCTATAGTGAAAAAAGAGTCTGAATCCAGTTGTATGTTTGGCAGTTTTAAAATGAAAACTTCCTGTCTGTGTAAGGGCAAGTGGAAAGAAAGGCAGGGAAGGCAGGGGAGAGTCTGAGACAATTGTAACCTGAGAGAGTTTATCCTCTAAAGGATGTCCTAATGCCTTGGGAGTGGTATGGAAATCACAAACGAAAGAAAGTGCAGGGTTGACTTGCAGTCTGTAATAAACTAGTGAGTTAACCAAATAATATTTTCAGGTTGTAGAGCTGTTCTGTTACTTAAAATAGCTAAACAGCTATCTAAATTTGAATTTAACTTAATTAAAATTCAATATAATTAAAAGTTATTTTCCTTAGCTGTGCTAGTCCCATTTCACATGCTCAGGAGCCACGTGCATGTTATACTACCATGTTACACTACTCAGCTACAGAGTGTTTCCATCCTCTCTGTGATTTCCATTGGCCAGTGCCGTCCTAGGAGAAGGAAAGGGCACTATGTTGACTATTTTGTACTTGATCACCGCCAAACCTCTGAAGTTAGCCTTGTGCACATCTAGCCTTTTAGAACTTGAAGTGCTAAGATGGAAGACAGGCCAGAAGCTGCAGAGAGCTTTCTTAGTCCTTAAATGATCAGGGTAGACTGTGGGATTCTCCTGTGATTGAGTCTCTGTATTAATTGTAACCTAGCAAACTTGTGCTCTGATTGCATCCGTGGCCAGGGTACATCACAACCTGTGCTTTCTGTCATGTTTCTAACACAGCCCATACAAGGGAGTATGCTGCATAAGTGTTGGCCCTTGAAGGCACTGATGGACAGTGAGAATAGTATAATTTTGTGTGTGATTACATAAGTAGAGTTTTTTATAATAAGAAACTGAGTTTGTAGCTGTGACAGAAATAGTAACGCTTTTAGACTGAACAGTAGCATTTCCTGTCAGTTGTGATGAAGATGTGGGGTCTGCTAATGGTAGCCTGTCACTTATAACATTTTTGATATGAGATTATCTGGGATACTTTGTATACCCAAAACCAATGTGACGTGTGTGAACTATACTTGAATTTAAAAAAGGATCTGGGAGATAAAAAGCCATGAATAACCTAATTAACTTTTGGTGAATTTAATGTTAAATGCTGTTTTATTTATTTATTTTTTTTAATTTTTTTTTTTCAACGTTTATTTATTTTGGGGACAGAGAGAGACAGAGCATGAACGGGGGAGGGGCAGAGAGAGAGAGGGAGACACAGAATCGGAAACAGGCTCCAGGCTCTGAGCCATCAGCCCAGAGCCCGACGTGGGGCTCGAACTCCCGGACCGCGAGATCGTGACCTGGCTGAAGTCGGACACTTAACCGACTGCGCCACCCAGGCGCCCCAGTTAAATGCTGTTTTAATGTTAAATGTTGCCATTTTTTTCTCACCTAGATTTCAAAGACATCGATGGACACATCGCGCATATGTTTATAACTTGATCTTGGCATAATGCATTAGCTTTTCTCTTTTCTTTTCTAACAGCAGTATTGAGCCCAGGCTGCTGTGGGAGAGAGTGGAGAAGCTGGTGCCCAGGCCTGGCAGTGGCAGCTCCTCGGGGTCCAGCAACTCAGGATCCCAGCCTGGGTCCCACCCTGGGTCTCAGAGCGGCTCTGGGGAGCGCTTCAGAGTGAGATGTAGGATGCCTTTGTTTTTCCCTTCCCTCATTAACCGTATTGGATTATGATAGTGTATTGGAGGTTCTTTTTAATCATGTAAAAAGGACTATGGTTTTTCCACAGCTGCATACCACAAAGCAATGTTTCAGTACAGGTTGCTAATGCTACCATAATTTTAATAATAGAGTTCACTTTTGAGAGCTTACACATGCCTCTCATTGTGAGCACTTTATATGCATAATCTCGCTTAATCCTTAAAATGACCCCAAGAGAGAAAAAGAGAGAGAGAGAGAGAAAGAAATGTATTGTGTCTCCATTTTACAGATTAAAGCAACTGCAATTTAGTGAGATTGATAAACTTGTCCAAGATGATTAGCTAAATGTCCGAGCTGGGATTTGAACCCACTTCTTAGAATGTAGGCTCCCATCCACTCTGTCATCATTATTGGTTATTTTAACTGTCAAAATATTAAGTTAGTGAAAGTTCCCTCCAGTATGTCATTGACATAATGTAACAAGGTGTTATGAATACATGCTAAGCAGAGTCAGGTCTGAGTGTGAAGCCTTGAGTGGGGCTAGCAGGAGTGGGAGGGAGTAGGAGGGGAGAGAGGCAGAGGCTGGGTGGGCTGGGTCAGCTTTATGTGACGCACTTCTCTATGTTTATCCATTTCTGCTCTTGAATTTCACAGCGTCATCCAAATCTGAAGGCTCTCCATCTCAGCGCCTCGAAAATGCAGTGAAAAAATCTGAAGATAAAAAGGAAGTTTTTAGACCTCTCAAGCCTGCTGTAAGAATTCTACAAAATCAGTTTTACTTATTCCAAGCTTGAATGAGATCTCTTAAAAATATGTGGTTGAGAAGCTTACAGTCTTTTCCATGGGGCCCTCTTACAGATTTCAGGACTTAGAAAGAGTGCCATGTCCTCACACATTTGTGCACACTTATATCCCACCATTATAGTAATTTTTTTTCAAAAAGTACAAAAGAAAGAAAAGCCTTTTTATTTTTACCTCTTTGCTCAGCGTTAACCTTTATGTATTCTTGCTAAGTTGGGTATTTACAAAGTGGCTTAAAAAAAAATTTTTTTTTTTAATTTATTTTGAGTGGGAGTGGCAGAGAGAGAGAGAATCTCAAGCAGGTACCACGTTCAGTGCAGAGCCCTATGTGGGGCTCAATCCCACGACCGTGGGATCATGACCTGAACTGAAATCTGAAAGTGTTGTCTGACAATGTCTGACGCTTAAACAACTCAGCCACCTAGATGCCCCAAAACTGGCTTTTAGACTAAATTTTTTTACATTAGCTTCTTTCTTCAATTCACCTATTATTTAAATTCTGCCTTTTGGTACCAGAAATGACGGTTTTGACTTCCTCATACTTGGTCTTTGATCCTTGTTGCATTAACTGACCATGTAACTGTGCCCATTGGGGGGTTTTAAGCCTTTTGGAATTTTGATTTCTTGCTTGAATTGATTTCTGTACTTCCCCTCACTCCCCTCTCTCCCGTGCTTCCTTGTGCTGTGCATTCTTCATCACTGATGGCTTCTCCGGCTCACTGAAATTGCTACTGCACTGAAGGGTGAAGTGGTAAGCCCCGTCTCTGAAAGATTCTGCAGCAGAACAACATTCCAGCTGCCTCTTCATTTTAGCTTATAATCCATCCACATTTCCTTTCTGCCCTCAACTTGCCTTTTTGTTCTTTTCTAGAATTCAAAAGTCCTAGACTTCTGCTTTGTCTTTTTAACACAGAATTTACTGCATACATTTATTATTAAATACAGCTTCTAAAAATAACTTCTTAAAAAGCTACAGTTGTAATTATGAAATAGTAAGACCCAAGGTCCAATACACTCTTATTTCAGAGGCTTAAGCTCAAAAAAGAACAAGATCTTCTTACCTGTGGAGAAGGAAACTCAGTTGGAACTGCTAAAAAGAAAAAGGAAAAGTGACTACATAGCCTGCTTTTAAAAAAAGTCATTACTTCCAAATGTAATTCCCAAGTAGAAACTTCAGACTTTTATATGAAAATGTAGAGTATAAATAATAATTACACTTAAAAATTATATTTGGATAATTGAGTGAATATTAAAATATCTCAGTATGGAAGAGTAAAGGGAAGCAAAGCTCCTTATGAATGATATCTTTGAACGTGGATTTCCGTTCTGTCTGATGTTCGTATTTGTTGGCAGCGTTGCAGGGAAGTGTGGGTAAGGTGGCACCAGGGAAGTGTGCCTCACCTCCTGCCGACAGCAGCATGCACTGCCTGCACTTTCTCACTTTCTGTGTCATGGACCCTCTTAGGAATGTGGCGAGTCGTTAACACTCTGTGAAGTGAGACATGAGTAATATACTCACTTTTCTTAGCTTTGAAATTGTTAAAAATAAAAGAGTTAAAAATAATGAGTTCACCAAATAAAAACTCCCAGTCAGCCCTTTTTAACTAAAATCTTGCTTTCTGGATAGTTTTCTCGAGAGAAGACTTTGTTATATGGGCAGAACTCCAGGGATTTGCCTTCACACATTTGTTGATCTAGAATTTTACATTAGGGTTTTTAAAAAACACTATTACCTTATTGTAAGCAGATTGTTTTTTATTGTTGTGAGATTTGAACTGTGTGCAACATCTTTAGCTTCTTTTCTATCGAAAGCTTGAAGAGCTCACCTTCTTATTAATTATACTGGTAAATACAAAATAGTTTTACAAAACCGATACTGTGGCTATCTTATCAGTAGTTAAAATGAAGAATGTCTCATAATTTGCTGTTTTCTTCCCACTGCCCCCTGCGTGTGCCCCTTTGCCTTACTCCTTTTTGTCCTGTGCGTTAGGATTTGACTGCACTGGCCAAAGAACTTCGAGCAGTGGAAGATGTGCGACCGCCACACAAAGTGACAGACTACTCCTCATCCAGTGAAGAGTCAGGGACAACAGATGAAGAAGATGATGATGTAGAACAAGAAGGAGCCGAGGAACCCACCTCTGGACCCGAGGACACCAGAGCAGCGTCAGTCCTTGGTGTATTTTAGAGAGGCTGAGAATGTCTCCACTGAGCTTTCTTTCCATTAGGAACCGGTTTTTTCTAAACCTATCCTGATTCTATGGCCATTTAACATTTAGTTCTCCTGGATTCAACAGCAGACAGCCTTCATGTTTTTCCCTCTTCTGTGTGTGTGTGTGTGTGTGTGTGTGTGTGTGTGTGTGTGTGCGCGCGCGCGCGCGCCTCTCCCCAAGACCCCAACGTGTATTTTATTTTATTTTTTCTTTTTAATTTGAGGAAATGACAGAAGGGAAGTTTCAGTTTGATTGAACCACGTTAACCATAAGAATTCATCCTAAATTTTTTGCTTAAAAACAGACAATACTGGCAGAAAGGTCTTTGTTGAAAGGGAAAAGCTAAGCATTTATTTTCCTTGAGGAAACTATATCTGTAGCCTGATCTCATCTTACGCCTTTGGGAAGGTGGAAAATCTTTTTTTTTTTTTTTTAATTTTTTGGTTTTTTTAAAGTTTTATTTATCTATTTTTGAGAGAGAAACAGAGAGAGTGAGCAGGGGAGGGGCAGGGAGAGAGGGAGAGAGAGAATCCCAAGCAGGCTCTACCCTGTCAGCATGGAGCCCGATGCGGGGCTCAAACTCACACTGTGAGATCAGGACCTGAGCTGAAACTAAGAGTAGGACTCTTAACCGACTAAGCCACCCAAGCACTCTGGGAAGATGAAAAATCTTAAACAGGATGTTTTCTGCTCATGGGATTATTATGGCCCTTCACTTCTGAATTTTGTTCCAATAGGTCATCTCTGAATTTGAGCAATGGTGAAACAGAATCCGTGAAAACCATGATTGTCCATGATGATGTAGAAAGTGAACCAGCCATGACTCCATCCAAGGAGGGCACTCTAATCGTCCGCCAGGTACCTGTGTCTTCTCTTTGTTGTTAGAGGCAGAGCTTCTCCTGTAGTCATTAACCCACTTGCTCATTCACTCACTCATGCTGTTTCTACATCATCATCTGTTTTCATGTTAACAAGACCCAGAGGGTAGAGTGTCGGGGGCTAGGGAGGCAGGTATGTGCTGCATGCCAAGAAGGTAGCTAGCGGTCTTCCACCCCACATTGCTGCTCCTCTGCATGTTTTGCGGCAGCCCTCATTCAAGCACCACGCCGATTCTCACAGTCTGTGTCTGAGCAGTAGAAAAGCCACATGGAGTCCTTCAGCAAGCTTGCAGGGCGAGGAGGCAGACCCCGGTCTGTAGTGGGGCAGCCGCAGAGGTTCTGCAGAGAGCTCCCAGCTCTGGGCATCCACAGTGCTCAGCAGGAGCAGCCCTTTGACAGGAGCAGTTGAAGAGCGGATGAGCCTCCTCAGTCACAGGAGGGCCTCATGGAGCAAAAGGGTTGGGAGGTCTCGCTTGTGTGTTCCAAAACGTTAGTTTCCTCACTTGTTGAATATTAAATGTCGGATTACTCAGTTTTACAACTGTCTGTTCATTTCTTAGCTTAGAAGACAGAGAAGTGATGCGCTTCCCATGACTTAGAACAGGCGCCTTTCTAGTGTTTTGGACTTTTCCTGAGTGTGTTTCATGCAATGGCAATGCATTCGGATGGAAAGTGGGAAGAAGGCGGAAAAGACCAGGATTCAGAGAAGCGACAGGGTACTCTCTAGGGCTTTAGATAGATTTTTAAAGAAACAAAAAAGGCTAGTGGTTTTGGTAACAACAGCTAGTGTGGCAGATAAACCAATTAAGCCGTCACCGCGCAAGTCCTGTGGCCACCAGATGAGGTACTTTGAATTCTGTTGGCTCAATGTAGGCATTTGGCGAGGAAGTGTGAACAATTTTGGCCAGTTTCCTCCGATCTTTCTTTGATGATTTAACAGTTTGAAAAGTCACACAGCACCATTAAATCAGTTATCAGTAGGGTCATAGGGAATTTCAGCAGCGCTTGAGCGAGACGAGTGTGCCTGTTTTTTCTACAGAGTACAGTTGACCAAAAGCGCGCCAGCCATCATGAGAGCAATGGCTTTGCCGGTCGCATTCACCTCTTGCCAGATCTCTTACAGCAAAGCCATTCCTCCTCCACTTCCTCCACCTCTTCCTCCCCATCCTCCAGCCAGCCGACACCCACCATGTCCCCACAGACACCCCAGGACAAGCTCACTACTAATGAGGTATGTCTCGCACCACAGCTGGCTGCTTTCATAGGGTTTGACCAGCACTGCCTAGTAGCTAGTTTGCAGAGGAGACCTTTCCCACACCCCTCACCCCTCCCTTCCCCCTGCTTTCTTCTGTCACCTACCCTTCTCCCCAACCCCAAGTAACATGTTTCAGATCTGCATACAAATCCCTTAACCCTAGATCATTGTCCCTCCAACTTGCCAGTTCACTGTTTACTTTTCTCTAGATGAGTGTAGTTGCATGGCTTTCTTTATTCAGTTTATTTTTTAAAAGTCTAAATAAAATGATTGCTGTGTTCTCAGATCCATACGTATTTGGCATGAAATTCTTGTAGCCGTTTGTGGAATTTGCCTTTTTCATTCTTTTTATCTGATAAGTAAAATATAGAAAAATTTGGTTAAGCAGACTTGGCCTTATCTGGACACACTTGTTATCCTGTACAGGAATCTCCTTCAAACAGGGCTGAGTTGCTTTTTGTTTCTGATGGGGGGGTATCGTTGGTTGGTTACTGATTCGTTTTCACCAACCCTGTTAAAAGGATGTCTTTCCTTGAAATCCACCTTCATTCAGAGTTTAAGAAAAGGCCAAATGATTTTTAGGGAAATGTAGAAAATTAGGATGTTAAGAAGAGCAAGGGTCTGAGCATGCTTTAATTTAAATTTTTGAATGGGAAATCTGGTGTGCTCGTTTGAAGGCTTGGCTGTGGTGCTCAGTCTGGGTGCTAGTTGGGTGGTGCTTTGCTCTTTGGAACAAGATTATGCCCCAAGTGCAGTGACATAGTCCACCTTGAGCACCCTGTACTAAATTAAACAAGTGGTTTGATTTCTTGGGAGGTTTGGTTTAAATGCATTTGTCTAATGGTTGAAAGGAGGTTGAGAGTGGCATGTAGCTTCAGCCAATCTTGTTAATGTAAACATTTAACTGCCAGCCTGTCTCTACCTGCTTCTATTTTGGTTCCCTTGTTAGAAAGAATCAGAATAATCCTCTCCCCCTGAGGAGCAGGGGCAAGTCAACTGCTTCCAAGGTGGGCTTGCATCAGATTGGCCATCGGATGGATTGGCCATTGATCACAGGATGGGGTGGGAAGCTTGCCAGCAGACAGCTGCGTGAAATGGGAGGAGAGAGCCTGGGAGCCTAGGCAGTCTTGGGCTCTAGGACATAGTGTCTCTCAGCTGCCTGTGGAGGGCGAAAGGTTTCAGGACTAAAGCACTTGATCAGAAGTGTTCTTTTTTCTCCAGCGATATATCCCACCTACACTCACATTTCTCCTTATATTTATATTTAAACTTTGCTCCATTTTGCTCTAATGTCCAATATTTACTATAACCCTTAACTCACTAAACTGGCAAGTTTATTTTTCCGTTTGTTTTGTTTTTAATTGTCATTACATTTCCACTTAACAATTTGTTTCACTTTCTTTGTGTTTTGTTATTTTTTTTTTGTCTTAAGTTACACTATTAACCAAAACACTAGCGTTCCTAAAAGAGCGAAAGTATGTGCCATATCTTGTTGTTTGCACCTTTCACTAATGAGCCCCTGTTTGATATGGGTTTACTGATGATGCACCTAAAACGGTGGTAGCCAAAGCTTCTGTAGCTTTCTGGCAAGAGGCTCACTTTAAAATAAATAATACAAAGCAAAGATTTGCCAATATTCCAACATATATTAATTGGCTTTTTTTGGGCAGAAGAATAATGTCAGAAATTGATGAAGTGAGATAGACATTTCAAGCCTGTCCTTTAGGAGTTTTTATTATCATTATTTATTAAAAAAAAAAAACAACTTGGAGCATGAAGTGTAGATTTTGTTGGTAGCTCACAGCATTCCTGTCTTAGATGAACAGTACTTCTGAAGAGAGATGTAGCTTTTTGGTGGTTCCAGGTCGAACAGCCTATTGTCGGGCTGTGTTGTGCACATGCAGAGGCACCCCTGAGAGCATTTGGGGGGAACGATGCAGGAGGGATAGGCCTTCCTAGTGGGAAATCATGCAGTGTAGAAATGGATTGAAATGTTGTATGTTCATTTTTTAATGTCATTTGTATTAATAAAATTGAAATTTACATTGCAGACTCAGTCCGCTAGTAGCACACTCCAGAAACACAAATCTTCCTCCTCCTTTACACCTTTTATAGACCCCAGATTACTACAGATTTCTCCATCTAGTGGGACAACAGTGACTTCTGTGGGTAAGTAAAGGAGCAACAAGAAAGCAGCTGACAAACAGGACTTGGTCACTTTGTATTGGTCTTTCTGATGGCTGAGGCATGGCATGGTGGTTGTTTGCAGGCACAGACCTCGGATACAGAAACACCCATCCCGCTTGCATTGCCTTATTTGCAGTGAGCTGCATAGTCAGTTTCCTTTTCCCATATACATTTCTTACAAACTTCTTTTTCTTGACAAAGGGTCCGTTACAACATGTGAATATTTACTGAGGTGTAGCAGGGGAGGGAGGCAAGTGCATTGTTTGTGTGTACAGAAAATAATTTAAAGTATATCGTGTTCTAGTGGGATTTTCCTGTGATGGAATGAGACCAGAAGCCATAAGGCAAGATCCTACCCGGAAGGGCTCAGTGGTCAATGTGAATCCCACCAACACTAGGCCACAGAGTGACACCCCAGAGATTCGTAAATATAAGAAGAGATTTAACTCCGAGATTCTGTGTGCTGCCTTATGGGGTAGGTATTGTACTGCTACTATGACTCTCTTTTTTTTTTTTTTTTTTTTTAATTCTGAAGGGTGGACTGGTCTTTTAGAGAAGTACTATTTTGGATAGTTTGGGGAGTTTTTAAAGGGTTGTTAACAGATAAGTTGGAAAACTTTTTTTTTTTTTTTTAATGTTTATTAATTTATTTATTTTGAGAGAGGGGCAGGAGGAGACAGAGAGAATCCCAGGCAGAGCATGGAGCCTGATGGCAGGCCTCAATCTCACAACCATGAGATCATAACCTGAGCTAATATCAAGAGTCAGACGCTCAACCTTCTGAGCCACCCAGGTGCCCCTGGTGGGAAGACTTCTGCGATGCCCACCCTTGTAACCTTTTCCTAAAGAATCATGTAGGCACGTGTATGTTCATGCACTTGTTTCAGTCAACGGCTAACCTCCTATTTCTTCACGTAAAGAAAAAACTAGAAAGATGAGAAAGACATTGGAGTTGGTCCTTATTTATAGGGAGAATGAAGAAATTTGTTGGATTGCAGTTTGATGTTTTTCCTTGCCCTTCATGACTTGGGCCTCACATGGAAATGAAGTTTTTAAAAGCAGTTTTTTACTGGCCGGAGTCTGCAGAAGCAGACTGTTGTACTGACTTTCTCCGTTGCCTGTCTGCAGTATTGGTGTAGCATATTCACAACCTAAGACGCCACAAAAGACTAAGTCTGCCATACACAGGACTACACCCTCTCATGTTCTGAACCTGGCCTCTCTGTCATCACCTTCCTTGCTCCCACAGACAGAACCTGTCTTAGAACTTGTCTTCTAGTCCCATGCTGTGTTTTTGTTCTTATCCTGCCTGAACCCCAAAATCTGTTTTCAGTAGGGACCCGTTTCTAATCAGAACAGTGTCTCCTTCCCTTGACATTACAAATGTAAGTAGACAGAAGACATGCGATCCGTTTTGGTTGAGTGCGCAGCATGTCTGTCCAATGACTGCTCTCCTGCCCCTTTCACCAGCTCCTACTCGGTCTTCTCCCGAGAGGTTCAGGAGAGTCCTTTCCCCTTTGCGGATACACCTGCTTTCTCTTTCACTTTTTGAATTCTGGGTTTCTGTCCTTGTCACCACTGAGTATCTTAAGTCTCCTATATCAGAAGGCCTTTTCTGTATTGACCTTGTAGGTAAAGGTAACAATAGCCACTTGGAGGGGGATTACTAGGATCATGTGAAAGCAGCTGGCACAGCATTATCACCGCATGGCACTGTTAGTGTTGCTGCATGAATGCCAGTTGTGATCACATCATGGAATGGAGTTCCATCATGTCCTTTCTTTTTAAAGGCCTTTTGTGGGGGTGTGTATATCATCAAAATTGATACATTATATTTAGTGTAGAAATAGTGTTAAGTAAGTTAATTCTTTGGAAATTGGTGAAATAATTTTTATCTGGAACGTTTGCACTTGGTAGCAGTCTTACACTGATTTTACACCAATGTCCTACAAAGTGCTGGACTCTGTTCTGTGCCATTAGCTGATTTAATGAAAATCCTCCTTCTAATGAACTTCTTTAATACCTCAGAGAATAAGAGAGTATCCCGAGCTTGTGTTTTTAAAAATGTGGTAGAACTTTCCGTTTTATCAGTATGTGGAAAGGAGTGATAGGCAAGATGACTTAAAGTTGAAATGCATTTCTATAAATCCATGTATTTGAGTTGCTCCTTGGCTCGGGGCACATCAGTGATGGGTTTCCTTAAACTGCCTGCTAAGCTAAAAAGTAAGTTAAAAAAACAAGCCTTTTAAGTTAAATTTAAAAATAAGCTTTTTAAAGACTTAAGACACAGAAAAGTTAAGACATGTACTTTGAGAGTGGTAGCCTGACAAGGGGAGAAAATTCAGAGGACTCTAGAGCATTAGTTTGAAATGGTGACATTGATGCATTGAAAGTCAGCTGACCAGTGTTAGATAGGTTAGACATGCTTTTTGTGTGCCCTCTTAGAAAATGCTGGCCTCAGGGCACCTGGGTGTTTCAGTCAGTTAAGCACCCTACTCTTCGTTTTGGCTTAGGTCATGATCTCACAGTTCGTGGAATGGAGCCGTGTCGAGCTCCGTGCTGACAGCACGGACATGCTTGGGATTCTCTCCTCTCTTTGTCCCTCCTTGCTTGCTCTGTCTCAAAACAAACTTAAAAACAAAACTTTTAAAAAGAAAATGCTAGCTTCAAGCATTCTTTTTTAATCATCTTATATAATTGACTTCTGCTTTGTAAGATGCTACCTATTATATTTTTGTAATAAGACGGTTTTCCCATTCACAGCCAGGATTATTTTAACACACATTTTGAACATGATTGTTCCAGCTTTTTTTTTTTTTCTTTTCTTTTCTTTTCTTTTCTTTTCTTTTCTTTTCTTTTCTTTTTTCTTTTCTTTTCTTTTTTCTTTTCTTTCCTTTCTTTTTTTTTTTTTTCTTTTTTTTTCTTTTCTCTTTTATTTTCCTTTTCTTTCTTTTTTTTTTTTTTAATTTTATTTTAAGTTATCTGTACACCTAATGCAGGGCTCGAAACCTACAACCCCAACATCAGGAGTCACGTGTCTACTGACTGAACCAGCCAAGTGCCCCTGTTCCCACTCTTAACAGTAAACTGTCTGCAGTTTACTACAGACCATTGCCTGTAATATCATCATAGAATTTAAAGGAAACTTTATTTATTTTTATTTTTTTATTTTAAAATTTTTTTTCAGTATATGAAATTTATTGTCAAATTGGTTTCCATACAACACCCAGTGCTCATCCCAAAAGGTGCCCTCCTCAATACCCATCACCCACCCTCCCCTCCCTCCCACCCCCCATCAACCCTCAGTTTGTTCTCAGTTTTTAAGAGTCTCTTATGCTTTGGCTCTCTCCCACTCTAACCTCCTTTTTTTTTTTTTTTTTTTCTTCCCCTCCCCCATGGGTTTCTGTTAAGTTTCTCAGGATCCACATAAGAGTGAAAACATATGGTATCCATCTTTCTCTGTATGGCTTATTTCACTTAGCATCACATTCTCCAGTTCCATCCATGTTGCTACAAAGGGCCATATTTAATTCTCTCTCATTGCCACGTAGTACTCCATTGTGTATATAAACCACAATTTCTTTATCCATTCATCAGTTGATGGACATTTAGGCTCTTCCCATAGTTTGGCTATTGTTGAGAGTGCTGCTATAAACATTGGGGTACAAGTGCCCCTATGCATCAGTACTCCTGTATCCCTTGGGTAAATTCCTAGCAGTGCTATTGCTGGGTCATAGGGTAGGTCTATTTTTAATTTTTTGAGGAACCTCCACACTGTTTTCCAGAGTGGCTGCACCAATTTGCATTCCCACCAACAGTGCAAGAGGATTCCCGTTTCTCACATCCTCTCCAGCATCTGTAGTCTCCTGATTTGTTCATTTTGGCCACTCTGACTGGCGTGAGGGGATATCTGAGTGTGGTTTTGATTTGTATTTCCCTGATGAGGAGTGACGTTGAGCATCTTTTCATATGCCTGTTGGCCATCCGGATGTCTTCTTTAGAGAAGTGTCTATTCATGTTTTCTGCCCATTTCTTCACTGGGTTATTTGCTTTTCGGGTGTGGAGTTTGGTGAGCTCTTTAATAGATTTTGGATACTAGCCCTTAAAGGAAACTTTAAATCACACATTATAGAGTTAATAGCCATTTTTCCCCATCTTAAACCAGATTTCTATGAATACAGTCGCAGTTCCTAATACAGCTTGCCTTTGAGCAATTAATATTTAAAGTTTAATTATACCTAACAGTTGAAAGGTTTAAAAAGGGTATTTATAAAAGGTTATTGCAGCCTGCAACTTAATTTTTTTCATCGGCCCATAATTTCCAGGGTGGTTATTTTCCAGTGACTCAATATTCCTCTGAGTACTAACACTCAGTACTTTACAGAATGACATAGTTCTTGGAAATACATAATGGAGAATTATGAGGTAGAGTATAAGTACCAAAGTATCTGTATTTTTTATCTTTATGAAAAGACTTTTTCAGTTTTGTCTTTTATTCCTTTATTATTTCTTACTGTAAAATTTTGATTGATGTTTGGATGCTATTTGTTTTTGGAAACCACAAATAATAGGTTTCAGAATCTTATATTTCAGTAGTTATTACCAGACTTTTGACATGGGTCTTTCAGCTACTTGATATTGAAGATTGGGAAAATATTGAAATATTACATGAAATGGAATCTTTGGAATGAACTCTGTCTGAAAACAGCTCTATCAGTTAATGTTTTGTTTTTCTTCTGTTTACCTGTGAAGCCAGTTAAAATGATCTCACCTAGGTATGTGGAGGGAAAACACTAAGGATAATGTCCAAATATAGTTCTGCATTGATGGGAGATGGTCACCGCAAAATGGTGAACCTCAAAAGTGAAATTGTATGAAAATGAAGGAGCATTACATAAGCATTTATTTTTCTTGCAGTGATGATAAGTGTGTTTTTAAATTGGACAGTGTTTTTTTTCTTAGCATTAAGTAATTATCTGAAGTGTGTCATCTTTCTATTAAAAAACTTTTTCATGGAAAAACATGATGGCTTGTAAGCCTTATAAAGTGTAAGGCTGTGAACCCTAATTCAAAGCCACAATGTTACCTGATGAATAAAATGGTAGTATCAGCCATAGCTGATATTTCATGTGGCTATTTAAATTTAATAGAAACTTCAGTTCCTCAGTTGTACCAGCCATGTTTCAAGTGCTCAGTAGCCACGTGTGGCTAACACATTGACATCAAGATAAGTTCTGTTGGACAAGGCTGGTCTGGATGGCACATTCTAAAAATCTTAATTATAAGTCACAGACGAAGTCATGTGCATTCATAAGCCTTTTTCTTAAGCTCTTCAAATGACCATACTTTGAGAGTTTTGTTTACTTTTAATGGTTACTCTTAATGGGTAGTGAATACTCAGGTTTTTCTTCCTTCACATTTTCTGAAGCTATTTCATAGTATGTCAGGTTCTAACAAGCTCTCATTACAGTAGTAGTAGATGGAAAGCACCTGTGATTTGGTGGAAGCATATGTGGGGCAGCACATACAGGGATGCTCTTGTGAAACATACCACTGTTTCTGTAAGGGCAAAATGGAAACCTGCATCATATGCCTAATAGGTTTTTAATGGGGGGCTTTCCTCAGGTCACGCTATTATCAGAAACTGTAGATGTCTAGAATTCATAAGGACCTTTTTACACATTTTACATTTTTTGAGGACTCCAGGGATAGTGTTATATTAGTTTAGAGCCTACAGTGTTTCAGCACATTTGTAACTGTTGTCCTTGTGAGCCTTGCACTCTGTTAGTTGAAGTTTTTTGTATTTGAATGGCAGTGATAGTTACTACATATGTAAATTCCAGGTTCCCAGCTTCCCCCTAGACCCCAAAAAGTGTGTCCAGTTTCCTCACAAGGATTGCTTGGATATAGATACTGTCCCTCCAAGTCTTGGGTTTTACTTGCTCAATGGAACAGGGACAGAGCTGAGAGAGGGTTGGGAGCGTGTTTACTTGTTGCCTTCACAGTTGTTCACTTGAAGTTTTCTGGAAATAGGGTATGTGTGTATGTCTGTGTGTGTCTTCCTGTGTAATAAAACGTGAATTGTGTGGTTCAGGAAAATACATGGTATTCTTCCCTATCATTCCATCTACCAGTAAATATTGATTGGGCAATTTTTTAAAAGCACAAATACTTTATTCCTTGTCTCAGTGAGTTTATTACGCAGTTGAGGGAATCAGTGCAAACATGTATGTGCCTAACTGCTTAGGAATATAAGGTGATCTGTGCTACATGTTACAAAATTGGTTTAGACAAGGAAGGTTATAGACCAAGGAAAGAAGGCATTTAAGGAAATAAGTGAGTGATAGGGAGAAGTAAGTTGACTCAAGGTACAGAGAGTTTTGAATGCCAAGTTGAGGCTTTTGTACCCTGCCCTATAGGGTGTGTAGTTTTGAAGATGTAGTAGGACCTAATAAGTATTGTCGGAAGATGAGGATTGTTTGGGCTGCTGCCATGAACAAATAGAGGGAGGATGTTGTAACAACCTGAGTTAAAGTCACTATCCATCATTTACAAGGAGGCCAAAGCCTGATGTAAGGTGAGAGCAGAGGAAAGGGAAAGGAAGGTTTTCTCTGGTTCTGGTGGTCAGTTTAGCTAGATGTGTGGAACAGGTGGTGGTGCTGTTACAGAAATGGCAAAAGTTGAGAAGTTGGTTTCAGTAGAAATTTACAGCAGGTGTGGAAAAGCAGGTAGAGTATGAAATTAGGAGTTGGTGGTTCTGACGTGCTCCTTCAGAAAGCAAAGGAGAGATGTCTTTTGTGTTTTAAGAAGCAGAGAAGGTTTAAAAAAGGGGTGGGGGGCGCAGAGAAAACCAAGAGCTGGAGCTGAATGGAGCTGGAGCAGGGGAAGACCATGGTAGCAAATAGAGAAGCCAGGATTGGTCCCATGGGGAGGTCACAGTATTTTAATATTCCTAAGAAATATTGTTGCTTTCTTGATGATGATGGAGAATGGTCTTTAAGAAAATGGCACGGTGAGTCATAAATTGGTAAGGATTTGAGGTAGCTATATCTCATGCCAGAAGCTTGGCAATCAAAATAAAGACAATAAAGGAAGTATGAAGGGATCATGAAAACAGACATCTCTCTCATATCTTTTTTTTGATTTAAGTAAGTATTTCACCCTCACTCCTCTGTGATTTGTTGCCATTTGGTTACAAATACCTCTGGCTATTCCAAGCATTTCTTTTTGTGGGTGAGTTTAAAAACCACTCTTTTCCAGATAGCTGGTGTTATCCTTTCTGTACAACCAGACTGTTTGCCAAGCACGGCATAAAATTCAGGTCTTTCTGTGTTCTTAAAACAGGAGTGAATTTGTTAGTGGGTACAGAGAGTGGCCTGATGCTGCTGGACAGAAGTGGCCAAGGGAAGGTATATCCTCTGATCAACAGAAGACGATTTCAGCAAATGGATGTCCTTGAAGGCTTGAATGTCTTGGTGACAATATCTGGTAAGTGTTCATTTAATAAAGCAGGATTATTTCCCAGCACGAAACTTCTGTTAGCTCCTTTTTTGAAGTAATGGCTGAACGAGGTACAATCATAGCATGGTCTCATAGTAAAGTAATAGAAAGATGTGACCCACATGTACACACTGAACCTGTAGGGCTCCTCTAAAGAGCAGTCTTGAAAAGCACAGGGGCATGCGCTCTCTAGTTGACCTCTCCCACACAACCACCCTCTCTGCCCCGTTGCTCGTTGGGTTTAATGTGGCTTCCCTGGCTTGGAGGTTTGTGTCTGCTTCCACCCATGGGACTCTTGCATGCAGAAGGGACTGTGCTCTGCCATGATGGCACAAGTACCATATTATGGTTTTTCTTTACATCCGTTAACACTTACTATAAGCTTCTTTTTAGAAAGAGGTTTTTTTTAGTATAAATTATGTAATATATGTGCATTGTGGAAAAACACTACTGTAGAAAAGCAAGTAGGAGAAATAAAATGTAAAATCATCCAGAGATACTATTGACTTCAATTTTTAACTTCTAATCTTTTAAGCATACACACACTTAAAATACACTCATAAAGGGGGGAAAATCTGCATTTAAATGGTTATACAACATTTCAAACATACAGACAATAATGAGAGAATGATTACAGAATAATGACACCCATGTACTGATTAGTTTTAACAGGTGTTAGATACACTTTTGTACCTGCAGTTAGCCTCCCTTCCCCTTTCAGCTGCCCCTGTAACCACTGTCCTGAAGTTATACAGTGTTCATTCTGGTTTGACCAAATCAGGTACTTGCTCTCTCTGTGTCATTAAACATTTCTTTATAAACAGTTGTATTTTATATGGCTATAGAGTGTTTTTTTGTATAGATATTCTAAAATGTATTTACTTCTGTTGTAAATCTTTTAGTTTATCCCTTTTTTCCCCTCACGTAGATATTTTTGGCATATATCACATATCTTGTAGTTGACTTAACCATTGCGCACACATGCCCGTGATGCGTGGGTACTGGTTTCCTAATAATTTGTATGATTGCTAGAGTCAAGAGTATGCAAAATTGGAATACTTTAGGTCTTCTAATAACCCACAGCAGTTTTGATTTAGTCATCTGCTGGCTCCAGCTTATTATATTTGTTTATATGTAACATCTCTTGCAGTTATTTTAGTTTTGAAATACGCTTTTGGTTGTAAGTAAAAGATGTTTGTTGAAGTGCAAAAATTTCGCCATCCATCTCATACTTAAATGAGAAAACAACCATTTACAACTTGAGTGTTAATGTGGAGTAGGTTTTAAAATTGGAGGAGAAATGAATCTGCCACTAAAAATGGCTTGGGCTTCATTTTGTGATTCACTGAACAAGAAGATTTATGGGAATCACTAAACAGCTGACACCAGTAATTTTTGGGGACTACTTTTCTCTATTCCTCTTTTGTAGCTTTTAATGATTTTTTTTTACAATCATGAAAGTAATACATATTAATTGTAGGAAGCTTAAAAAAATGAGAAAACCTTAGGAAGAATAAAACAAAATGTTACCCTATCTCAGAGACCACTCTTGTTGACACTTTTTTATATTTCCTTCTCCTCATATCTGTAAGTATGTATTACAGTATGGAAATGGAACACTATATACATAAAAGTACATAGTTTTTGTTTCATTTAACATATTTTATTGAGTATTTCCCCACATTCAAAAAGTCTTCAAAACGGGCGCCTGGGTGGCTCAGTCGGTTAAGCATCCAACTTCAGCTCAGGTATGATCTTGCAGTCCATGAGTTTGAACCTCACGTGGGGCTCTGTGCTAACAGCTCAGAGCCTGGAGCCTGCTTGGGATTCTGTGTCTCCCTCTCTCTCTTCCCCTCTCCTGCTCGCACTCTCTCTCTCAAAAATAAATAAACATTAAAAAAATTTTTTTTATTTAAAAAAAAAAGTCTTCAAAACTTAAAAAGATTGTGTTGAAGTATAAGACGTAATACAAAAAGTGCACAGATTGTAAGTATACAGCCCAGTGAATTGTCACAGTTAGAATCCATCCATGTAGCACCTATACCCTGGTGAAGAAATGGAACAATCCCAGCAGTCCAGAAGCTTCCCTGCAGTCCCCACTTTGCTGCCTCCCAGTCACTGCCCCCCATGTTCCCAGAGGGAAGCACTGTCCTTTAAATACCTAAGATTGGTTTTACCTTCATTGAACTAAAGCTGCAGAAATGGTAAAATGGTAGGTATTCTTTTGTGTCTGGCTGGGGTTTTTTTGTTTTTGTTTTGTTTTTCTTAAAGAGCACTTTAGGTTTACAGAAAAGTTGGAAAGAAAATATAGACAATTCCTGTATTACCCCCCACCTCCATTTTTCCCAATTAGCCTCATTAGTGTAGTACTTTTGTTGTAATTGATGATCCCGTATTCATACATTATTTTTATTAACTAAAGTCTGTAGTTTACATTAGGGTTCACCCTTTGTGTTGTACAGTTCTTTGGGTTCTGACAAACACATAATTATCCACAATTATAGACTAATTTCACTGCCCTGAAAATCCCCTGTGCTCCACCTATTCATCTCTCTCCAAAAGTCCCTGGCAACAACTGATTTTTTTTTTTTTTTTAATTTTCTATGTGACCTTTTCCAGAACATCATAGTTGAAATCATGTGTAGTATGTAGCCTTTTCAGACTGGCATCTTTTCTCTAGCAATATGCATTTAAGGTTCCTCCATGTCTTTTCATGACTTGATAGTGCATTTCTTTTTATTGTTGAATAATCTTTTGTGTGGGTGTGCCACTTTGTGTATCCATTCACTTATTGAAAGACCTCTTGGTTGCTTCCAATTTGCAGCAATTATGAATGAAACTGCTACAAATATTTGTGGACAGTTTTTTGTGTAGACATGTTTTCAACTTATGTGCTTGGTTAAATACCTAGCAGTGTGATTGCTGAACATAAGGTAAGACTACATTCAACTGGGCACCTGGGTGGCTCAGTTGGTTAAGTGCCTGACACTTGGTTTCCACTCAGATCATGATCTCGCACTTTCATGAGTTCAAGCCCTGCGTCAGGCTCTGTGCCCACAGCACAGAGCTTGCTTGGGGTTCTCCCTCCCTCCCTCCCTCCCTCCCTCCCTCCCCTCCCTCTCTCTTTCTCTCTCTCTCTCTGCCCCTCCCCCACTTTTGCTGTCTCTCTCAAATAAATTTGAAAACATTATTAAAAAAAAAAAAGACTACATTCAGCTTTGTAAGAAATAGCTAGGCTGTCTTCTAAAGTGATTCTATCATATGTTCCTACAAGGCATGAATGAAGATGTTGCTCCATGGCCTCATCAGCATTTGGTGATGTATTTTGGATTAGTATAGTATAGTGTCTGATTATTGTTTTAATTTTTAATTCCTGATGAAATGATGTTGAATATCTTTTCACATGGTTATTTGCCATCTATGTATGTCATCTTTAGTGAGGTATCTGTTAAGGTCTTTTGTCTATTTTATAATCGGGTTGTTTGTTTTCTTCTCTTGAGTTTTAAGAGTTCTTTGTACGTTTTGGATACAAGTCCTTTATCAAATAGGTTTTTGCAATTTTTTTTTTTTTTTTTTTTGGATTTTTGTGGTTTTTTTGTCCATTTTTTTAACTGTGTCTTCCACAAAAGTTTTTAATTTTAATAATGTCTAACTTACCTTTTTTTTTTTCTTTCATGGATTATCCTTTTGGTGTTATATCTGAAAAGGCATTGCCAAATCCAAGGAGGTTGTACCTAGGTTTTCTCCTATGTTATCTTCTAGAAGCTTTATAGCTTTGCATTTCATGTTTAGGTCTGTGATCCATTTGATCTTTGTGAAAGGTTCAAAGTCTATAAATTCATTATTTTTTGTATATGAATGTCCAGTCCTTCTAGCAGTGATTGTCGAAAAGACCATCCTTTTTCTGTTGAATGGCCTTTGATCCTTTGTCAAAGATTAGTTCATTGTATTTTTTTGTTTGTTTTTTATTTTTGGGAGAGAGAACCAGTGGGGAAGAGGAGCAAAAGGAGAGAGAGAGAGAGAGAGAGAGAGAGAGAGAGAGGGAATGAATCTCAAGCAGGCTCCATGCTCAGTGTGGACCCCAATGCGGGGCTCTGTCCCACAACCCTGGGATCATAACCTGAGCTGAAATCAAGAGTTGGACACTCAACTGACTGAGCCACCCAGACATCCCCATAGTTCATTATATTTGTGTGGGTCTAGATCTCTGTTTTGTTCCATTGATCTGTCTTTCCTTTTGCTAATACCACATTGTCTTGATTACTGTAGCTTTGAAGTAACTCTTGAAGTCAGGTAGTGTCAGCCCTCCAAACTTGTTCTTGCTCAATACCGTGTTGGCTGTTTTGGCTCTTTTGCCTTTCCGTATAAAGTTTAGAGTCAGTTTATTAACATGTACAAATTACTTGATAGGATTTTGATTGGGATTACATTGATTGTACATAGATCAAGTTCAGTAGAACTTACATCTTAGCAATATTGAGTTTTACCCATGACCATTGAATATATCTCCATCTGTTTCGATCTCCTTTAATTTCTTTCTTCAGAGTTTTGTAGTTTTCCTCATACAGATGTTGTGTAGGCCTATTTTGTCACATTTATAACTAAATATATCTTTTTTTGGTTTTTAGTACTTCTGCAGATGCTGTATTTTAATTTCAAATTTCCAATTGCTTGTTGCAAGTATATAGGAAAACAGTTGACTTTTATATATGAACCTTGTAGCTTGCAACCTTATATAATTATTTATTAATTGCAGGAATTTTTTTTTTTTTACCAGTTCTTTGTCATTTTCTATGTGAACAGTCCTGTATTTCTTCCTTCCCAGTTTGCATACCTTTTATTTCCTTTGTCTTACTGCATTAGCTAGGACATGTAGTATGATGTTCAATAGGAGTGGTAAGTGGGGACACCCTTCCCTTGTTCCTGATCTGAAGAGGAAAGTATCTAGTTTCTCACCATTAAGTATGGTATTAGCTGTAAGTTTTTTGTAAATGTTATTTGTCAAATTGAGGCAATTTCCCTCTATTCCTATTTGCTGTGAATTTTTGATCATGAAATGAATGTTGGGTTTTGTCAGATGTTTTTTCTGAATCTGTTGATAAGATCATATGATTTTTCTTCTTGAGCTTGTCAATGTGTCTAGTTTCTTTTGTTCAACACCCGTTTTGTTGTTGTTGCTCATAGAGGTGTATTCCACTTCATTTCTGTGTATGACTATACCACAATTCATTTATTTGTTCTGTTGTTGATAAACATTTGTGTTTGCTGTTTTCAGTTCTTAGGAACAATGCTGCTGTGAACATTCTTGTTCATGTTTTTGGGAGCTCATACACACAAATTAATATGAAGAGAGAAGTTACTGGATCATAAGTAACATATACATGCATCCTACTTTAATAGATAATGCCAAGCTTTTTAAAATGGTTCTAACAATTTATAGCACTGGTTTCTGAGTTTCTAGTTACTCCTCATCTTCCCTACTTTGAGTACTATTGTTCTTTTTAATTCTAGACACTCTGATAGATGCATAAAATTGTATCTCATTATGGTTTTAATATGCATTCACTAATTGACTATTGAGAGCAAGTACTTTTTTATGTATCTGTGAGTTAACTTCTTTTGACTGTTATAGTCGACTGCCCACTTTTTCAATTGGGTTATCTCTCTTCTAAGTGATTTATAGGTAGTGAGTCCTCTGTCGGCCCTTTAAGTTGCACACATCTTCAATTTATGGCTTTTTGCTGGATTTGATTCCCTGCCTTGGTTGATCTGTTTAATCTTTCTATGCTGTCTAATGAGAACTAATAGCTACTCCAGAGAGTTTTGAGAATCAGATCACATAATACATGTGAAAGCATCTTATAAGGTCTGTTGGTTGCATTGCTGTGCAGGTGTTTGCATTACTTTGTGGTTTATGGATACTGGCTATCTACATAAGTGTGAGTTCTTTTTTCTTTTAAAACCTTCCCTTCTAATCAGGCCTATACCTGATGATAATTCTATAGGAGTTTCAAAATCCTTCTGAATAGCTTAAATTGAGGTTCTAGTAAAACTCATACAGAATGGTTCCCTTAGGAGGATAATATTTATTGCTCATTTGGTTACTGTTGTTATTGATAGATGGCACCTACTTTGAATACGTATATAAAATATTTATATTTGTTTTGCTAGGCAAAAAAGATAAGTTACGTGTCTACTATTTGTCTTGGTTACGAAATAAAATACTTCACAATGATCCAGAAGTTGAGAAGAAGCAGGGATGGACAACCGTGGGGGATTTGGAAGGATGTGTACACTATAAAGTTGGTAAGTTCCAGGAGGGTCATGAGGGTTTTATTCTGCAGGGTTTTGTTCCACAGGGTTGTTTCTGATACACCTAGATGTTTTCTGCAATTATGTTTCTAAGGCATCTTCTAATCCCGAAGTGTCATCTTGGCTCACAATGTACCTTTTAACATAACACCATTCATTCCTGCCATTCATTCTGTCCTCCATCCATCTCATGCTCACATTCATCTTGCGAGCGAGGCCTTTTACCCTTCCTCTTTGACAGTCCAGATTCTTCTCTGTAAGATATGGTCACAATAACCTCTCTAAGGAAACCTTGCCAAAGGAAAGCCAGCCAATTTGGATTCTTGCTTTGTGCTCCAAGCCTCATCTGCGTTGAGAGGACTTTGGGTCCTTGGCAGTCATTGACAGAATGTTTGAGAGTTTGACCAAAGAGCTATATGGCTTGTCGTTTTGAATGAAGAGCACTGTGCAAAGCTGCTGTGCTCTTAACTACTAAACGAATCTAGCCGGCCAGCCAATGTTTCATAGCAACTGTCTTGTTTTTTCTTTTGCTGGCACGCATGCTTTGGTTCTTATGAAGTAAGAGCTTGCAAGAACAAAACCAAAACAATTTTTTTTTTATGTATGAAAAAAAATTAAAATACTGGTACTAATGTTGGAAGTAAAGGGGAAATAATGACGCTTAGCCAAATTAAACTTTATTGGAGAGATAATATATTCTAATAGAATTTGAAATGGGAATTTGAGAAGATCAGCAAATAGTCTCTATTATACCTAAGACTGATTAATGTAAGCATCCTATTGAATATTGATTTCTGCTACTATGTTTTGTTTTTTTCTGTTTATGAAAGTATATGCTATAGTCATTTTCTTTGCTTCTAGGGATATTATAGTCCTTGACATTCTCTTATTATTTATATAATCTGTCCACAACTCTCAGCTCACTGATTAATAATGATTGCAGAAGCCACCCCAGTTTGGCATGATTCTGAGTGTTGCTGAAAAGTAGTACTATATACTTGATGAAATTTTGGGATTGGGATTTTCTGTGCTGTGTTTATGTGAAATAATTTTTGCAGGGTAACTAAAATCATCTAAGGTTAAATTTAATGAAATCATTCAGAATGGGTGAAATGTGCATGAATAGATTATCCTACAGGGGGAACTAGAGGCAGATGTGTTACACTGTGTTGGGCTTTTCATTGGAATAAAACAGTTATCCTCAGGTCTGTCATTCTTACAGAATGAATCACAAGCATTTTCTGCGGTAAGAGTGTGTGGTACCATTCATTCATTATACTTTTAGGAAATTATATTCAGTTTATCAAGACCTGTGCTGTACAGTATGATTTCCATCAAGAATAGGGGCTACTTAAATTTATATTTAAATTAATTAACATGAAATAAACTATAAAATGTGGTTCTTCAGTGGCACTAGTACATTCCAAGTGCCCAATAGCCACATATAACTTGTGGCTATCATATTAACAGTACAGATCTAAAATCTTTTCATCATTACAAAAAAATTCTGTTAAACAGCACTGGTTTGGACAACCTTTGATAATCCTTTGTGTCTTAATATTAATGTCAGTGATTTATTCGAATAGTGATACTATATTGGAAATTAACAAGGAGAATTATCAAGTTAACAAGCCATCTCTCATGTGCAAAGGAAGAATAAAGTAGTATTGTGACATTAGATAGTTTATAAAGAAACTGGTAGAACTGTGCCAGACCACTAAGTCACGTGAGGGCACAGCCCCTCAGAGCATCTGTTTTTAAGCAGAGTTGCTTGGCTGCAAGAGAACCGGAATAGCTATGTAAAGAAGGCATTTTCAACTGAAAAAATATATATAGCTGAATAGAGATTTCCTTTACTACTGTTCTTTTTGTATGGAACTTTGGGTAGAATTCAGGCAGTCACTGCTTGTATAGATCAGGAAGCAGTTTGAAGTGATACTTAGCTGATTAACCACTTCATTATCCTTTTGAAGCAATACTGAGCCCTTAAGACTTTAGGGTGGTAGGCCTGGCACAGTTGTCTTTGATTAGTAAATACTTGCAGTCTAAGAAGATTAGGAACATTAGTGAAAGTATTCCTTAATAGTAACCAGAGTATTGGAATTGAGTCCCAAACATCAGTCAAGAAATATGGGAATAGGCTGAAAAAGTATTGGAAAAGGAAACTCTGAGGTTTGATCACTCAGCATTTTTTTCCTGTTGATCTAGATGACTCAATAGAAGGCATTATTTATAAAGTTTGCAAAAGACAACTAACAGAATTTAGAGTTCCATGTTGATTCTGACCTGTGCTTCTCTTGTTTATGTTGTTGTTTTCAGTAAAATATGAAAGAATCAAATTTCTGGTAATTGCTTTGAAGAGTTCTGTGGAGGTCTATGCGTGGGCACCCAAGCCATATCACAAATTTATGGCCTTTAAGGTAACAGCATCAAGTGTACTTACAAGTAGCATCAGCCATGCATGCATGACCAAGAAAGAGCCAGAGGACAGTTTAAAAACCCTAAATAGTTAAAACTGATCATTTAAAAGCTATGTACTAATATAGAGTATAACTTTGTCATAAGAGAGGCCATTTCTAATGTAATAGGCCTCATTGTCTGCTTTCCAAGCCCTCAGAGTATGAGGAAAGAGCTAAATGTTTGGTAGACATTGATTGATATGTCAATATGGTAACAGAAGAAAGGACAAAGTAATGCCACCTCTAATTAAAAAGCAGATCTTGGGGTGCCTGGGTGGCTAAGTCGGTTAAGCGTCCGACTTCGGCTCAGGTCATGATCTCACGGCTTATGAGTTCAGACCCTGCATCGGGCTCTGTGCTGACAGCTCAGAGCCTGGAGCCTATTTCACATTCTGTGTCTCCTTCACTCTCTGCCCTCTCCCACTTGTGCTCTCTCTCTCAAAAATAAATAAAAACATTTAAAAAAACAAAAACAGCAGACCGTGACCATCTGCCTGAAGTGATGCATGTGTATAAAGATTTAGATATGTTTTTGATAAATAGTATCCAACAGTAGGCAGCTTGGAGGTATATCTTTTCAATAGAATACTAACTAAAAAACAAATTACAGAAATTCTTAATGACACAGGAATATGTATTATGCGTTAAATAGAAAAAGTTAAAAGCATGAATAATGCATTGTTTCTGTTTAAGGGAAAAACTATAGAAAAACATTAGTATTTTTCTGTGTGAGTATTTTTAATATATTTTATAATTCTAGAGTTTGCATTAGATACAAATTTATGAAATTCTTAATTAAAATATTACTTTGACATTAGATATTATAAATAACTTAACATCATTTCTTATATTAGGCACAAAACTTTGAGTATAGCTCCTGGGGCTGTTTTAGTGCATATCATGAAATTAAGAATTTTTCATCCAAAATGATTCTATTTACTTACCTTTTTTTCTTGTTCTTGATACATTTTATTAAGGGTAAGTTTCAAGTATTTGGAAAATTAACGTATTTAGATTGCTTATTGCTTGATTCCCTAATAACGCAGGATAAATGGGGTTACCATATTTGGTTAAGAAATAAATCCACATGTTACTGACTAAAAGTAATTGGTTGTATCTTCTGAGATCTGGTCTTAATATCCTTTATGTGCCAGATGTACTCTCCTAGTTGCTTTTATAAGTATATTGTTTAAGTCTGTCTTGTGAGCTGTAGGTATTGATATTAATCAAGAACTGAGGTCATCTAGTTTATTACAGGTCATCCAGGTTAATACCCTACATTTTCATCACTGTATTGCTCCAGTCAAAAAATTAAAGTAGAAGTCTCTATGATGACTATGATGACCATACTAAAAATTCTCAGTATGTGACTCCTGCAACTCTACCTCTTTCTCCATTGTCTGCATTGAATAGTTGAATACTGTGCTACAGAAAGTCCTGGTTCTTTCACTTTAGATGTTTTTCTCACCAAGACAAGAAGGTGGAATTCTTGGGCCAGGTAGGGGGAATTTGCGACACGTCTTCTGGAAGAAATGTCTCCCAGATGCTGATTGGCAGACAAAAGCATAATAAATTAGAGACTTATTTCATAGAGTATTTTTGCTTATGGTTGTTGCCAGAATGGCTCAGTGATTAAATAACTGAGTACCTTGGGTTTGGCTTCTCCTGTTTGATCTATCAGAAATAAGTTCTTCTTTGTCTTACTACTTTTGTCTCGGTTACTTCTTTGTAGTCATTTGGAGAATTGGTACATAAGCCATTACTGGTGGATCTCACTGTTGAGGAAGGCCAGAGGTTGAAAGTGATCTATGGATCCTGTGCTGGATTTCATGCTGTTGATGTGGATTCAGGATCAGTCTATGACATTTATCTACCAACACACGTAAGAAAGAACCCACACTCTATGGTTGGTTGACTGGCTTCATTTTGTTTTGACTTTTTTCTTTACTCTGCTTAGTGAACTAACACAAGCAGGGATTCCTTGCTTCCCCTTGGTGTGGGGGTGAGTATTTAAATGATGTGCCATTCTCAATAGCTGCATGCTCTGAGACAAGTGGAAATCCATTCTCCTGGCTCTGTGAAGCCCTCCTGAAAACCTCTTAGCCCTGGCTTTGACTAACATGGGATGTATTTGGGGCAATTGCTGGCAGGTCAGAATATCCCTGGGTTGGGAGTGGTTTTAATTAATTTCTTAATAGAATCCACAATCCAGATATGTTCCAGGGGCCTCAGAAAATGTGAACTAGTAGAGTACATGACCTGTAAAAGGTATTCTTTGAGATATATGTCACATGAGTTTTCCAAAATTTTATTCAATTGCTGTATTTATTCACCTGGAATATTAACCAGTGCATTCACCAAGACAGTCTTTTTGAACGCTATTTCAAGGATAGAAATAACCACAAACATACTTCCCTGTACTTTGTTCCTCTTCTCTAGATCCAGTGTAGCATCAAACCCCATGCAATCATCATCCTCCCCAACACAGATGGCATGGAGCTTCTGGTGTGCTATGAAGATGAAGGGGTTTATGTGAATACCTATGGAAGAATCACCAAGGATGTGGTTCTGCAGTGGGGAGAGATGCCAACATCTGTAGGTAGGTATCACTCAGAGGAAAAGATAGCATATGTAAAAATGGAGCCTTCTCTAAAACTGCATGTTATCACATCAGTTTTACCTGTTGTTCAGACATTTTGGCCATTTAGCAGAATGGTTGGCAGAAAAACAAAAAACAAACAAAAAAAACCCAGAATGGTTGGCAATATTGATGGTGAAAAGGGAGATTGTAGACCATGGCACTGGTCATAGTCTGTTTTAGAACAAAATCCAAGTAGTTATTTAACACTTTAAAACTCTGTCATTTACAGTCCTTCATTTAATCCTTAAGACATCCAGGATGTAGGACAGATGTGGTTGTTGACTAATCTGTGGAAATGAGGCAGAAAAAGGGTAAGGGATTTATTTTTTCGAGTGGCAGTGCCACTCGATAATCTGAAATTCTTAGTTTATATCCCAAGTTGTTCTGGTTTCAATTAGTCATTTTCTCTTCTCATCACTTCTTCTTCCTGCCTTCTTTATGACTGGTTTGATAAAAATAGGAGCACTAAACTATATCCAGTGGGTCATTGCTCAAAATAAGCATGAACCATCTCAAGAATTCAAATTACCACTTCTCAGGATAAACTTTAAAAGCAAAAGTTCCTTAAAACAAAACAAAAGCAAAGTTCCTTAAAAACAAAAATCTCCATATGCTAGACATGCAGATAATGTGTGTGTTATATGAGCAGCATCTTTTCATAGCTATTTCCTTATCTATAACAATTTCATGTTTTCTCCTCTCAAAAAGCATATATTCGATCGAATCAGACGATGGGCTGGGGAGAAAAGGCCATAGAGATCCGATCTGTGGAAACTGGTCACTTGGATGGTGTGTTTATGCACAAAAGGGCTCAAAGACTAAAATTCTTATGTGAACGCAATGACAAGGTAATGGTTTCCTTACAACTTCTCTTGAGCTGCTGTTAGCTTTGGTAATGGTTTACTTTCCATGGGGTTTGGTGAAGCCTTTTCTTGAGGTTTTGATAGATTCTGAAATAAATTCATCAAGCAACATTTTAGTAGTGACTTTTTAGACCTGTATATAGGAGTTGGGGTCTGTTTTATTTTGTGTTTGCTTATGAAGGGAGAAGAGATACTTGTTTCTGCCAAAATCATCGTATTTTGTTTGTAGTGGTTGTTTTTAACCCCAGTAGGTGACCTGTATGAGCTATGTTTGGTTTAGGGATAGAAAAGGTTAAAACTGCCAATCTAGTGGGATTCTTCTGTGATTGGAAGAAAGCCCCTTGCAAATTTGGTAGGGTAAAAGTTTCCTCTCGAGACCCTGATGTGCATCAGAAGGATACTACTTGTCTCCTTCTGAATAGTAAAATAACTTCATAGTTTGCATGTCAGAAATACCTAACAGTATAAGTCATTTTATGCAGAAGCATGAGCACCTCCTGCAGCTGAGACCCCCCAGTCTTCAAAAGACCTAAAAACCTTTGTTTTTCAAAACTGGCCACATCCTTGTTACTTTCAAGGCCTACCACCTCCCTGGAATCCCCTCCCTAAACCAGCCTTGGAGTGGAGCAGCTGGATGGCCAAGGGTGTTGACCCATCCCACGTGCTTTGAGAAGGACCTCCCAGGTGGGCCTGGCCTTTACCAAGCCCAGCTTTCTCTCTTTTCCCTCCACTTGGATGAAAATGTCTTACTACCTGAGGCAGCCTGTTGCAACCTTAGAAACTTCCCTCTTAAGAACATTTCCACCTCTTGTCTCACATTAAAATATATTAAATATCCTAGCCAGTGGCCCACTAATTGACTTCTCAGATTAAATTTGAAAATTCACCTTGACAGAGAAGAGCTCTAGATCTCTTCCTTGACAGCTGGGCTTTCTGCCTAACTGCATGCTCAGTAAATACATTGCACCACCACCAGCCCCCTTTCCTGTGATCCTGTAGCTCGTTTACTAACGGTGTTGACATTGTTTTCTAATCATTTACCTTAGAAATCCATACAACTTCCCAACCCAATCCAGGATTTTGCCAGCTTTTTGGCTTATATTTTCCTGAGTATATTTAATGTAGCCATAACTATAATATTCTTTGAACTTGGGCATTTAAATATTTTTATTATTTATTATGTTATATCCTTTGAAGTTTACTAATCAAAGGCCCAAAAGTAAACTATAGTATTGTGACTATAGAGTAATATGAAATAACATATATTTTAGCTTAATTTTTTAAAAGAGAAAAATCAGGTTGCTAAGGAGTTTTCCAGACACATTTATCTTTTAGATGATATTAGCAGTGGAGATAAAAAGAAATAACTCAATTTCAGAAATATCAGTGTTTTCCTTTTCAGTTCTCACAATATGGCAGTGATAGCCTTCTTAGTTGTGATACAAATTAGCTACAGAGATGATCTCCTTATGATCAAGTAATACTGATATCCTCTCAGATTTTCTTTTGAAAGAGGCCTTTGGGCTTTTAGGCTGCCTGCATTTGGAGGTGTTGAGGTATTGAGGTGTTGGTGGCACTAGGTCACCTGCCTGGGAACCATAGGAAGGATTGCTCCAAAGGACTGGGTTGTGTTGTGTTTTCATGGTAAATCTCTCCCTCCCTCTTTCTCTTGATTTTGCAGGTCTTCTTCGCCTCCGTTCGGTCTGGTGGCAGCAGTCAGGTTTATTTCATGACATTAGGCAGGACTTCCCTTCTGAGCTGGTAGAAGCATTGTGATGAGGATTGCTGGCCCCCAGAGTCTTCAATGAGATCCTGAGAACTTGGAATTCCTTGCAACTGGAGCTCAGAGCTGCACCGGTGTAGTCCAGGACAGCTGTGTATGCAGACACCACGTGTGGGGTGTTTCGTTTCGTTTCATTTCCTTTCTGCACCTCTTACCAGTTTATCCCCCTTCTCTTCTTTCCCCTACTCAAAAATAAATCAAGGCTGCAATGCAGCTGGTGCTGTTCACATTCTACCATCAGGTGCTATAAGTGTTTGGGATCGAGCATCAGACCAGAAAGCAAATGCCTTTCCTTCAGCTCCAGAATTCCTTGTCTCTGAGTGACTCTGTCTTATGGGTATCTGAAAGTGGAGACTATGAACATGCCATTGGTTTGGAAGTGGGCACATGGAGGTGTAAAATGGTGGTCTCATGAGCGGTTTGCTGAAGCAGAGAGCAGATTTAATATAGTAACATTAACAGTGTATTTAATTGACATTTCTTTTTTGTAATGTGACAATATGTGGTCAAAGAAGAAGGTGCAGGTTTAAGAAGTTAATATTTATAAAATGTGAAAGACACAGTTACTAGGATAACTTTTTTGTGGGTGGGGCTTGGGAGGCAGGGTGGGGTGGGTTAAGGGGGTCCCATTTTATTTGGATTTTTTTTTTTTTTTTTTTTGGCTTGGCCAAAAACTCCGTCATTTTTCTGTGTACCAGGTTTTGCCTAAATCATGTGCAGATGGTTCTTAAAAAAAAAAAAAGAAAAAAAAAAAAAAAAAAAAAAAAAAATGTGTGCATTTTTATAAGGGCCAGAACTTTGTTGTGTGACAGTATTAGCACTGCCTCAGCCTAAAGGTTTAATTTTTGTTTAAACCTAGAAGCACGACAAGTTTTACCACAGTCTGCACTTGCAGAGGAAAAGAAATTGTTTCAGCCACATGTTTATTTTTTTGCCTACCTCATTGTTTGTAATGCATTAAGAGGTGGTTTAGTTTATATGTTTTTGGAGGAAAACATTAATGTTTAATTTAATCTTAATACCAAAACTATCAGATTGAAGTTTGACTGTTATTTTGTCACAGGTCTCAGTAGGCACAAGAGAAATTGTCCCTGAAGATGGGAAATAGCCACATGGTTTCATCATGCTGATGGATGCAGTCTGTTTTTCTGAGTTCAGAGAGCAGAATGCTTCGTTTTCACCAGATGCACCATTAGTGGTTGATGGGCAACTATGGCCTCTAACACAAGGGGCCTCACTGTTCTCAGTTTGGGGTTTGGTGGCAGACAAGCGGTCATGTTAGAATAGTCACACAAACTGTTCAGTGTTGCAGGAACCTTTTCTTGGCAGGGGGTGGGGGGGTGGAGTTTCCCTTTTCTAAAAATGCAATGCACTAAAACTATTTTAAGAATGTAGTTAATACTGCTTATTCATAAGATGGCATCTTCCTGTGTTTTAGGTGTAATATCCAAGCCCTGGCTTTTCTCCTCCTCTCACTTGCTCTCTTGTTCTCTCTCTGTTTTTTAAACCAATTTTACTTTATGAATATGTTCATGACATTTGTAATAAATGTCTTGGGTAATAATTTGTTTCATGGCTTCATGGTCACTCAATTCCTCTGAGACTATTAATCTCTTGGTAAAGGAGCAATGCTCAGTGTCATGGCTGTGCCATCTTACTTTCCTCTTGTTGAGTTTCGAGTGGGAATATTGTGTGATGGCTACTTTAAACTTTGTTTACCAAACAGAACTTGGCATTTCACAGGTTTAATACTCCTTTGTGATTAAGTTTCTTTTATAACATGAAAAAGGAAGATTTTCCTCCCAAAAATATAACAATCATTTGCACCTATTTGTTAAGGCTTTGCCCAGCATTCTCATCCTATTTGGCATCCAGTTTGACCCCTGTTATTCTGTTCCTCCCGGTCAGCATCTCTGCCGAAGGATCTCCTATGAATCATAAAAACCTAGTGAACAATCTGTATACTCACAGATGCAGAAACAGCAGCTGGTTGTACATAGCCACAATGACAGATAAGTAAGCGAGCCTTAGTCTCTTTTGAAAAGGACAAGGCATTAGAAATGGCTTTTCCATCTGTGTGACTTTGGAATGATGCTGATGTCCAAAGCAGAAAGGACTAGTTCTTTTCTACGGATTCATAGTTAACACAGAGAAGATTGAAAAGTTAATCCCACTTTTGGAAGGGACTTTTGAGATGGGCCAGATGCCATCACCACAGAATTTCAATCAAAATCAAATTACCGCTGGTGATTTCCTACATGTTTTAGTTTTTTTTGGGTAAGATAAAACGTGCCACAGTGAACACGTGTGCATGCCAAGAGGAGAAAGAACTAGATGGCTTGGTCAATCCAAGTTGGCTTTGTAGCCTCTCCTATGACTTTAGAGAGAGGTAAAGTTGAACAGGTATCTGAAAAAACAGTGAATTTCTGGTACCAATAAGGGAGACAGAAAAAAAAGTACTTATCCAACAGACTTGAAGCTCAGTGTCTGTAAGTCAAGGTGGGGTGCACAGATAATGCACATGACTTTTCATTGGAATTACAATTTAGAACTTGACAAAAACTGGATTTCCTTTTGGAGGTACTGGGGTCTGAGCTCAAGCCTGAATTGTGCCTGTCCTGGTAGCCACCTGGCACTCTTTTGGTGTTTGTGTTGAACGTAATCAAATCCATCTGTGTGCTTAATTCACTGAGGTCAGACTGCCGTTTGTCCTTATGGAGCGGGCTCCTGGTGTGTGCTTTCCTTGGCTGTGGTGTCCTTGCCTTCTTGGCTGCAGCACCTTGTACACGAGATTGTGTTGCTACAGCTTGATTCAGGTACCCAGTTAGGTTTCTCCATTAAAAATTACGAGCTGGTGAAATTTCCTTCTTCTAGAGAAGGGGTGATCTTTTTCTTCCTTTAACAGGGTAGTGACTTCACAAAAGTGCCAAGATGGCAAAATTATAAAAAGAAGACAGTATTATACCATTAAATATGGAACATTGAACTACTTAGCACTGCTCTTCAAAATACAGATGTCTCTAGGTATAGTCAAAGCTTTAATAAGTAATACCTTTCTGTATTTAAATCAGAGCAACTCTGTATTGAGTGCAGTGTTTTTACTTTTTTCTCATGCACATGTTATGTTGGAAAAAATGTTTACAAAAATGGTTTTGTATCACTAATGTGCATCATATTTATGGTTTATTTTTAAGTGATTTTTTTATGGGTTATTTAGGTTTCTGTCTTAGTTGTAGTCCACTTACAGTGACTCATAATTCTTAACTTTGCCAATTATAAATTTGCTAAGCAGTAATACAAATGACAGACTGCATTAAATTTACTAATCCTACAGCTGCAAAGCAGACTGGTGGCAAGTACATGCCCCCCCCCCCAACCCAAGTGCTAACTTGTCTTCTGTGTATTATGAAAATTACTGTTGTCCCCCCACCTTTCTCCTTAAATAAAAGAAAAATGACACCTATTTTATGTGGCATGAGTTTCAAATATATTCTGATCCTTCAGAATGTCTCCTTCCCATGAGGATCCATATTTTATACACCCCTCCTTCCCCAGTGCCACCCCTGGCTAGAGAGGGTGGCTCCATATCCTGCTATCTCCTGAAACAGGAATGTTTGTTCAAGGTGAGCTCTTGATCTTGAAGCCAAAATGGGTAAAGCTGATCCTTAAGGAGGAAATAAGGTTTTATTTTTGCAAGTCTGAATTGAATCAGAAAGTAAACTAGCATGATGTTTATATCTAATAGGACAGTTGGAGTGGCCCTTTCTCAAATTGGCATCATAAATACTAAGGCCTAGTAATTGGAAGGTCTTTGTGGCCAAGCCCCTGGGGTGTGTGTCACTGATTTCCCCCAGAGATCTACATGCGTGATCCCCATTGGACAGATCTAGGACCACATTGCCGCGACCAGCACTTTGGCCAAGCCTCCATGGTTGCAAAGGGTAGTAGATCACTACATGATCATAACTCACATGTTAATAAACCAGCTCCTTTGTGCTTCATATTAGAAACATGTTGTTTCTCTAAGGTAAAAATAAAATTGTAAATACCTAGGCCACCAAATGAGTATGTTTTGTCTTTTCCTACGTGATACTTGTTACAGCTGGTGGATGATTAAGGAATAAAAATCTCATGGAGGGCTAGTTGTCTTGGTACCATCATTCATTCTTCCTGTTCCTACTTTGTCCTCCACTGGTGTGGATCTTCTTAAACAAGCAACCAAGATGAAAACAGCCCCTATAACTGATACCAGCTCTGTGTTTTGGCATCACATTCAAGGGTACAGTAAAATTGCTGCCTTCTTTGCCATCTGTGACTTCAACAACAACAGATACCGTGCTTTACTTTCAGAGTACAGTTCACCCTTAAACAACATGGGACTAGGGTCACCAACCCCTTGTGACATCTAAACTCAGTATAACTTCCAACTCCCCGGTAGCAGGCTAACTACCAGTAGCCTACTGTTGATTGACTGGAAGCCTTACTGATAACGTAAACAGTCAACACATACTTTGTGTATGTGTTACATACTGCATTCTTAAAGTAAGCTAGAGAAAAGAAAATGTTATTAAAGCTGTAAGGAAAACACATGTTCAAACATGTTGAAGGGTCAACTGTAGTTATTAGAAAGTAAAACTGAAAAAAAAAACAGTTAAGGAATTAAATGTTGGGAAAAGTCATTACTGCATTTTCTCCTGGGAGAAATAACATACTCAGATACAGGTTCTCATACCTGGTCCACTTTCCCTTTCACCTGAATGTTAATCGGATTCTATCCAGGTTTCAAAATCTGTCCCACTTCTGCCTCTGCCTTGCTTAACTTCCCTGTGCTTACAGTCAATAGCCTCTCCTATACCCTGATAGCTGAACGTGGCATTGCTTTTGTTCACTCTTTGTTTCTGTCTGCATACAGAGTCTGCATATGAGCTGAAGTTGGTTCTCAGGGTTAACCATTTATTAAATCCTAACTTCTCTGCTCCTCAGAAACTGCCAAACATGTTGCTGGTGCTGAACAGGCACACACAAATTCCTGATCGTTTGTTTAAGTAGCATGAAATTAAAACCCTGGTGTTAGTCCAAAGGGAAGCCAGCGCTTGTATGCCTTGTGGGACTTGTGAGGAAGTGTGCTGGTGTAGACAGGTCCTAGGAAGGGTGTGGAGTTCTGCCTTGTTGGGCACAAAGCCACCCAGCACCCTAACATAACTATAGTATTCACCAGTCCCTGTTGCTGCAAG